AAACACTACTTAAAGTACAGCTAAGGCCAGATACCATAATAGTGGGTGAGGTCAGTACCCCACTCTCATCAACAGATAGATCATCCAAACAAAAAAATCAACAAGGAAACTTCAGAGTGAAACTTTATCATACATCAAATGGACTTAACAGACATCTACAGAATATTCTATCCAATAGCTGTGGAACATACATTCTTCTTTGTAGCCCATGGAACTTTCTCCAAAACAGATGGCATTTTCTGGCCATATAACATGTTTTAACAAACACAAAAAATCAAAATTTCTTGTATCTTATCACAAAAGATATCATAATGGAATAAAACTAGAAATCAACAGTAAATGAAACTTCAGAAAATATATAAACACCCAAAGACTGAGCAACATGCTTTCCAATGGTCACTGGGTAATTGAAGAAATAGGTGTGGAGGGGATTTCAAAATTTCTAGAATTCGATGAAAATCAAAATACCAGTATCTGTGGGATATGGGAAAGGAAGTTCAAAGAGGGAATTTATCTATAAGTGCCTACATTAATAAATCAAAGATCTCAAATAAATAACTGAATGATGTACCTCATCCTAGAAAATAAAGGGCAAGCCAAATCAAAGATTACTAGAAGAAATAATAAAGACCAGAGCTGAAATTAAATAGAGACCAAAAAGAACAATGCAAAGGATCAATGGTTCTTTGAAAACATAAAAAAGATCAATGGACTCTGAGCCAAAATAACCAATAGAAAGAGAAAACCCAAATTAATAAAGTTAGAGATGAAAAGGGAACATTAAACCAGATAACACTAAAATCCACAGAATCATTAGGAAATATTTTGAAAATGTGCATTACAACAATTGGAAAAGACAGAAGAAATGGATAAATTTCTAGAGATTTATGACCTACTGAAATTGAACCAAGAGGCTATGCAAAACCTAAACAGATCTATAATGACCAATAAGATTAAAGCAGTAAGTCTCCCAAAAAAGAAAACCCAAGGATCAGATGATTTCACTGATGAATTCTACCAGACCTTTAAAGAACTAACATCAATGCTCCTCAAATTATTCCATAAAATAGAAATGAAAGGAATGCTTCCAAACTTAATCTATGATGCCATTATTACCCTGAAACCAAAACTGGATGGCACAACAAAAAAAACTATAAACCAATTTCCTTAAAGAACATAGATGAAAAAAATTCAATAAAATTCTTGCAAACCAAATTTAAAAAACACATTAAAAAGGTCATGTGTGATGATCAAGTTGGTTTCATACCAGGGATGCAAGGATGGTTCGACATATACACATCAAGAAACAAAATCCACACAGAAGTAGAATCAAGGACAAAAATCACATGATCATTTCAATAGATGCAGAAAAGGCCACTGACAAAATCTATCATCCTTCATGATAAAAGCCCTGAAGAAAGTAGGAATAGAAGGCTCATACCTCAAAATAATAAAAGCTACATATGTCAAACCTATAGCCAACATTACGCTGAATAGAGAAAAACCAAAAACACTTACTCTAAAATCAGGAATGAGGCCATACTGTCTGATCTTACCACCCTTATTCAATACAGTGCTTGAAATATTAGCCAGAGCAATAAGGCAAGAGAAAGAAATAAAATAAAAATAAGCAATGAAGAAATCAAATTATGCCTGCTTTCAAACATGAACCTACAATTAGAAGACCTAAAAGACTCTTAGCGCTGATAAACACTTCCAGCAAAAGAGTAGGATACAAAATCAACATAAAAAACTCAGCAGCATTCCTATACCCCCCAAAAAAATTGCTGAAAAAGTCAGGAAAACAATTCCATCACAATAGCCTCAAAAAATAAAATATGTAAGCATAAATTTAACCAAAAATGATAAAGACCTATAAAGAACTGAAGAAGCTACTAGAAGATGGAACTCCCATGTTCATGGATTAGCAGAATGTTGTGGAAATGGCCATATTACCAGTAAGAATCTATAGATTCAATACAATTCCCTTCCAAATTCTACTGACATTCTTGTCAGCACTGGAAAGCAATCCTAAAATTCATATGGAAACACAAAAGACCCCAAATAGCCAAAGCAATCCTGAGCACAAGGAACAATGCTGGCAGCACCACAAAACCAGACATCAAACTACATTACAGAGCCACAGTAACAAAAGTCAGCATTGGGGCTGGTGGAATGGCTCAACTGGTAGAGTGTCTGCCTAGCAATTGTGAGGCCCTGAGTTCAAACCACAGTATGCCAAACAAGCAAAACCCAGCATGGTACTGGCATAAAAACAGACATGAAGACCAGTGAAATAGAACAGAGGATTCATAAATGAGCCCACACAGCAAAATCACCTGATTTTCTACAAAAGTGTCAAAAACAACAGCCACTTCAACAACTGGAACTAGGAAAGTATATATTCACATGCAGAAGTCTGAAACTAGACCTCTATTTCTTACCCTGGCAAAAATCAATTCAAAATGAATCAAACACCCTAATGTAAAACCTGAAACTTTGAAATACCTCAAGATATAGGCATAGATACAGGCTTTCTAAGTAGAACTCCGATAGCTCAGGAAATAAGAGGAAGAACTGTCAAATGGGATTGCATGAAATTAAAAAGCTTATACATAGCAAAGGAAACAATTACCAGAATGAAGAAACAGCCCACAGAAAAGAAGAAAATCTTTGCCAGCTATTCATTCAACAGGAGATCAATGTCCAGAATATGCAAAGAACTCAAAAAATTAAACACCAAAGGAACAAAATAATCCATCAATAAATGGGCAAATGAACTGAAGAGACAGTTCTTAAAAGTAGTACAATGGCCAATAAATACATGAAAAAAAGTTTCAACATCTTTAGTTACCAGGAAACACAAATTGAAACAACATGGAGATGTCATCTCACCCCAGTCCGAATGGCTGTCATCAAAAAAACAAACAAACAAACAAAAACATTTTTGGTGAGAATGTGGCAAAAAGGAACCCTTATACATTGTTGGGGAGAATGTAAATTAGTCCAGCCACTATGGCAATCACTACTGGAGATTCCTCAAAAATTAATAATTAAAATCACCACAGAGATTCTCAAAAATTAAAAAATGATCTGGCTGTACCACTACTGCCAAAAAATCAAAGTCAACATACAATCAAGATACCTCCATACATATGTTTATCACACTACTCTTGATGGTTAAGTCATAGAATCAGCTAAGGTGTCCATCGTAGGATGTATAGATAAAGAAAATGTGGTATATATACACAAAAGTTTCATTAAGCCATAAAGAAGAATGAAGTCATGTCATTTACAGAAAAATGGACATGCTATTTTGCAAGGACAAAATGTTTTCTCTCGTATGCGGCTATCAAAGGAAGGGAGGCACATGAAGGTAAAAGTGGATGTCAAAGTAGAAAAGGAGAAGGAGGAAAATGATCAATGCACATTATATGCATGTATGAAAATGTGACAATGAAACCAATTACTTTTTTACAATTAATATATGCTAATAAAAAGCAAAATTGTCTACATTCACAGATAACAAAAGTGCATGCGTAGAAAATAAAGAATTTACTTTTAAAAAAAGCTACAAAAAGTGAATTTAGAAAAGAGGGTTTCAGGATTGAAGGTCAATATACAAGAATGATATTTCTATGTATGTGCAAACAAGCAACTGAAAAGGGAAATAAGAAAAACAAAGCATTTAGAAGAACATTAAAAGCATAAAATATTTCAGGATAAGTTTAGTGTAACACATTTAAGACTTGTAGGTTGAAAACTACAGAAATTGCTGAAATTATAAAAACCTAAAGTATTGAGACATAACTTGCTCATGGATTGAAAGATCCATATTTTTCAGATATCAGTTCTCTCCAAATTGATCTATAATTTAAATGTACTTACAGTCAAAATTCCATCAGGTTTGTTGCAGAAATAGAGAAAATAATTTGTAAAACTTTGATAGAAAAATTTGTTATCTGGATTATATTAAGCACTTTTTTACACCCAATGAAAAGATAAAATTTGTATTGTTTATTCATTTATTCATGTGTGTATACATTGTTTGGGCTATCTCTCCCCCCTCCCCCCATGCCCCCTCCTCCTCCCCACCACCTCCCTCGCTTGAAAAGCTGTAATTTTTAAATGACAAAAATATTTGGATAGATATTTCACAAAATAAAATGTATGACTGGACAATGAAAAGCCATGAAATATCTTCACTCATCAGAGAAATGGACCTGTCATACACCCCAAATTAAGGATTAAAATTGGGAAGAATGACAACATGAACAACTGGTGAGAATATGGAATAATTGACACTCAAACATTGTTGACGTGAGTATAAAAATCAATCAATTTGGAAGCAGTTTGGTAGTTTTTTATTAAGTTAAACATATATTTAACATAAAACCCAACAACATACTCCCTCAGCATTAAATCAGAAGAAGAAAAACCTTTGTCCATACAAAGATTTGTATGTAAATGCTGGCAGCAGTTTTATTGGTAATACTAGAAACTGGGAGAAGGAAAAACCAAATTATGGTGTAGTGAGTACTTTTCAGAAATGAAGAGGAGCAAACAACATGGAAAAAAATCTCAAAACATATGCTGACTGAAAGAAACCATTCACAAGAGTGCATAGCATGTGATGTGACTTCTACAGTTTGGAATAAAGAATCCTAACTTACAGTGACAGAAATCATATCAATGGTTACCTGAGATTGGAAGTAGGGAAACTGGCTGCATAAGTACATAAGAGAATTTTCTGGAGTGATAGAAACTTCAGTAGCTTGACTGGAGTGTTGGTTACATGGGTGTAATCATTTATTAAAACTGATTGAACTGTACACAAAATTAGAACATTTTATTATATATTCATTATATCTATATGTTAGTTTTCAAAAATATTTATAGATCTGAACTGCAAATCACTTAGACTTGGTTTTAAAATTATTTCTCTGCCATCTGATTTATTTTAGTAATTAGCTTCTTTTTTTTTTTTTTAGGGGAGAGTGTGAACATAGTCCCCCACTACCACAAATTATGCAGTCGAGTTTCCCACATTTGGGGAAATCGCAGGGGTCAGCACATCCGGAGTGCAATGGATAAACCTCGCCCTAGGAAAACCATCTTCGTGATCATGGTAATCTCCCCTGCCAGATAAGTATAGTAATTAGCTTCTTGTCTTCAAAGTCATACAGAACTTCACTTTAGTTAAGCCTGTTAGACCATTACACATTCCTAAGTAGTAGCCTTAGTTTGATGAGAAACTCTTTCCTTATAAAGAATTCCAGAATCTACTTTACCCACATGAATAACTGATCTGCTTCTAATGTTTAGATACAAATCATACTATTCAGAAACATGCTCACCCATATTTAACGATAAACACATTGAAAATGTAAGCAGTGCATCTAACCATGCAAACATTAGGAAATGATCCATTCTGTGAGCTAGTAAAAGGTTAAGTGTTCCACATATAAAGAGATGAAAGTATTTATTTGTGATTTAGTCTGTTCCTAGTGTCACGTGTGAGGACAAACTACAAAAGGCACACTTACAGCACTGGCACCTAGGATAATGTCCTCAGAGAATTTTAAGTGTTACAGAACTAAAAGTGGAAATTGAAAGAATCAGAGAACACAAGCAACCCATTTTATCTGCTAATATTTATTACTCCAGAAATAGCTTTAGAGTTAGTTTATTAATGAGGTATTTTTCAAATCATCCCACATGTCATACTCTGAAACTCAAAAGCATCTTTTCAAAACGAGAGAGAAAGAAACACTTATCACATCGTGAGAGTGGCATACTAAAGTGTTCTTCAGCTTCCTTTATGGAGCATAATCTTGTGATGAGGACATCAGCTCACTCAGACACAGAGTCAGCACTCATAAAAGCATCTCAGTGACTATTAAGTCATGGCCATCTACATGATCACTTGCAATTCAGACAGAGACATGCCTCATATTCCAGATTTCCAGATATGAACCACTCCAACTGCTCCTGAAGACAGGACCGAAGACAGGACTGTTAAAGATTCACCTATAGTCTCTTTGGAATTAGTCCTACTAAAATCTTTCACAGGATCAATCAAAAATATATCTTTCTGTCCATTTACTCTTCATTATTTTTAGCATCAAAAGGCACACATTGGTCCATGAAAACAAGAACTGGCTCTAAACCAAAAGCCTAGAAGTGTTAGATAATGCTCTGTGAGAACTAATGTGTGGCTTCCACATAAAAGTTATCAAACTGTGCAAATTGAAAGGAATGAGTTCCGATCGCAGCCCAGCCATTCCTTGGGTAATTCACATGGACATTTTCCCACAGAGTCTTGCCATTCAACATGCCAAAGGAGGAATGACCCTGGAGTAGAGAGAAAGGTATTACTTGAAAACACATGGAAATGATCCTCTGAAGTCTGTTTCTTAATAACGTACAGTCCGTCTACTCAGTGGAGCAAATGTCTTTCTCACTCAAGACTTACCATGGCAGAACACAATTCCACATGTCTGAAATACAGGAAAAATATTCAGCAAGAATAGGAAATACGTATTTAAATAGTTCCCAAGGTATAAGGAATACTTTAGCATTTCCTGACGTTCTGCCAAAGTGTAAAACCAACAAAAGCATAATACTTTTCATAATATTATTATAAAGTTTTAGACAAAAGCCCATTGAATTTTTTTAATTGTTACTTACAGTAGCTGGACATATAGGTATTGTGACTAATGGTCACCAACCCTTCAATGCCTATCCCTAAGTTAGAAAAATGGTAAACATCATTTAAACTGATAATACGGTGTGGTAACGGGGCAGAAGAAGGGAAGTATCCATTAGGTGTGATTTACTGGTCATGACAGAGAAAGAAAAAATTCCTCAGAAGGTTGCCATTATATTTAGCTTAGTGTATGGTTATGGTGAACAATAAATGCTAGCTTTTATTATCATTACTGTAGTACACTATGAGCACACAATCAAAGCATACCAACTACAGCTAGTCATGTAAAACTAGTTAACTCTTAAAAGGTAGAAGCTAGAGAGTCAAAGAATTAGGCCCAAAACAAAAACTAATCTGTTTTTGTCTTAAAATTATAACACATCAGCCCTCAATTTGTTCTGTTATTTTATGAATGGAGACACTGAGGCTTAATCAGATTAAAACTCAAAGCCATAGATTCATCACAAGAGCTAGGGCTTGAATACACATCACCCAATTCCAAATATAGAGCCATATTCCTCTTATTATACTTCTGCAAACAACCTTCTACTCTAAAAGTGCTTATTGAACATACTCTGCCATTTTTAGGACCGTAAGTATTACCACCAAGCCAAGGGACTCACACATACAAACCATATTAAGCATAAAGCCTGCCTAATAGTGCCTCAACTTCTCCCCCTCCCAATTCATTCCCAAGGCCCCAGCCATCCTAGCTACCCACTGCTGCCCAAATAAGGTTAGCCCTGCCCTGCTGCCTTTTGCAACACCTTTGTGGTCTTCTTGGATTGTTCTTCCCACCACTCAGGTCTAAGCTCAAACATCATCCACTCGGCATTGTCTTCCCTGCCCTGCCTACTTAGAAAATTAGATCAGGGGAGCTACTTTACCTCATTACCCCGTTTTTCTTAACTATTCATATATTCATTTATAAGTTTACTGTCTTACAACAAGGGGCAGCAAACCTTGATCCTCATGTCAGTCACCTAATTTTATAAGTAAAATTTCACTAAAACACAGACATTCGCACTCATTTTCCTCTTGTCTATCACTGCTTTCTCACTACAACAGCAGAGCTAAGTAGGTGCAACAGAGACTAAATGGCCCACAGAGTCTAAAACATCTACAAGAGCCTGAAACATCTGACCTTTACATGAAATATTTGTCCTGGAATGTCTGTCTTGTTCATTACTTATCCCTAGCATTTAGGAAAGTGCAGGTAGTGAGTGCTTAATAAAAATATGTTGAATGAAGAATAGAAGAATGACACGTTTAACTCTCAAAACAACTTCTCAAAAATTATCTTCATTTTACAGATAAGAAAGCAGAATCTCAAAGAGGTAAGGAAGTCTTAGTAAAGGTCAGAGAGGAAATAGGAATATTCATCTATCTGTTCCTAAACACTGCTCCTAAGAATATTAACTGGATTCATTAAGCACTCAGCATATCATTTACTGTACCAAACTTTCATATATAACCTCATTTAGTCTTCCTCAGAAGAGTGTTCATGATGTTATGCATGGGAAATTTGAAGCTGAGTGAAAAAAATGTTTACAAGGGAAACACAGCAGACTTCAAAGTCCATTATTCTAACCACCATGCAACCGTGCACCTGATATTTGCTGAGAAGATTTCAACAAATGTCCAGCGTAAAAAGAATAAATCCTTCAAATCAGCTATAATTTGGAATATGGAAAAAATAGATGATTTTTTTCATTTATGCAAGTAATAGTATATGTCAAATGTTATTTAATACACTTGGAATTTAGTTGAAAAAGAAAGACAAAGTCCCTGCTTTTATGGAGCTTATATTCTAGGAGAAGGAGACACATAAACACACATACAATAAATAAAATATAAACACTAAATAGCAAGTAAAGAATTAAAACAGATTGACATGAGGATGAGTATTTGAGAGACTGTTGTAGATTAGATAGTTGAAGAAAGACACTCAGAATACTGGCATAAAGGTGAGGCACAAGGGAGAAGCAGAATTTTGCAAAAGAAACAAGAATTAATTGGGCTGGGATGGGACTGGTATAAGTCTTCCTTATCTACCCTAGTAACAAGGCTAACTTCTAAATTAAATCACTTTATATTGAAAACATAATTTTACAGAAGAAACAGCTAAAACAAGAGTGGATATATCAAAAGTACAGAGCACAAAATAGACTATGTGTGGTATCAGGTGCTGATAAAAGCTTTTGAAAAAAAAGCAATTGAAAAGGGGCAAGAATGAGGTGGATATTATGTGGATATTTATTATGTGGTCAGGAAAAAACTCTGAAGCAAGTGAGGAAATAAACCATACAATCAAAAATTTTAGAAAGCTAATAATTTAAAGTGTGATATTAAACAATAATAAACAGACCAATACAAGGAACAAAGTTTAGAAACAAGTCTATGTATGTGTATTGACTTATTACATAAAAAGAAGCTTTAAATTATGTACAAAAGGACAAACTATTCAATAAATGATGATGGCTATTATTTGTTTTTTAAAAAACATTATATTGGGCACTTCCATTATAATTCACAAATAAATACCAGATGGACAAAAGATTTAAACATAAAAATAAATCCTAAACTTAGTTTAGTTTGGGGAAAAATGTTCCTAACCTCGAAATTAGGAAGGTCTACTTAAATAAAGTATAAAACACAAAATACAAAAAGAAATTTTAAGGACTGGCAGAGTGACTCAAGTGGTAGAACTCCGTCCTGGCAAGCATGTGGCCCTGAGTTTAAGCACCCATACCAACAACAACAGCAACAAAATTTTTTAAGTGAAATATTTGAAAATGTCAAAATTTTAAACTCTTATTCATCAAAATACTCATAAGCAAAATTAAGATACACATGACAAAAGAGAAGAAGATATTTTGACCTATGCACAATAGGTCAAAATTCAAAATATCCAATAAATTTATACAAATTCATCAGAAAAAGACAATACAATGATAAATGAGGAAAGAATGTGTTTCTTTTCAAGAAACTTCAGAAAAGGGAAAATACAAATCATCAATAAACAAAGTAGGTTGTGTATTTTCCTTTATAGTAAAAGAAATGCAAATCATTGATTACCTTGGAAAAAAATCTTTCAAATTAATAATATCATATACTATTACAATTCTCACAAAAAATTGGTACAGTTTGCCTAGGAATATGACAGTATCCGTTAAAATTTAAATGGAATTATATTTCTAAATATCTACCTTTAATAGACAATAGCACATATGTAGCCAGGAGGCATATTTGGTATCTCCCCATAATAAGGAACAAAGTTATGCCCATCAAGAGTGGTATGGTTAAGTGAACTACCTTACCTTCCAACTAGATCCTCAATACGTATCATTAATGCTTAAAGAATTAGAACTGTCATTTTTTGTTGTTTGAGTAGGCAGAGAGAACAAGTTAAAGAGTTATTTGAATCTCATTTTTAATTTCTAGTCACAAACTAACAAAATTCTGAGAGAACTACCTTGGGAGAGAGCAGCATTTTACACAGTAACTTCCTTGGGAGCACTATTAATCAGTAGTAGCTCATGATCAACCAATGATTTGATGACTACTTTTAGATCTCCTTTATACTACCATTACTCTGGTATCTTCTCTAATAAGACTATTCATGGAAACCAGTATCTAGAAATCTGTGCTTATAGCTGATAACCAAATTATTTGAAACTATTAGGAACAAATTTATATGACTTTGCTTATACCTATAAATTCCAATTATAGTCTTGACTCAAGTAAACTGGAAAAGTAGTTTGATTATTGACTTTACCAATTACCCTTCAATTTAAAAGACAAAAACAAGCCCAGAGTGGTAGTACATACCCGCAATCCCAGCACTCAGGAGGCTGAGGCAGGAAGAGTGAGTTAGAGGCCATCCTGGGCTACAGAGTGAGACCCTGACTCAAAACACAAACAAGCAAACAAACAGAAACAAAACTCAAAAAATAGTGGTCTGAAAAAGCCAACTGCTGGTTATTATGTGGGTTGCTCTTATATACATTTTCATCCTATGGGCAGGATGGTTTACTGGTTCCATGTTCCATGGCAGATTTTCTGGCTCTTTTCATTATTTGTCACTTTCCTCCATTCATTTTATAACAGAAAACTCTAGAAATTTATGAGAATATTTTTAACTTCAGGCATTCCAATCAGCAATACTTACCTTAATTGCTAAGATTAGTGTATACCATTTTTGTGCTGTAACATCAACACGTCCTGAAGCATACACAATCCATCCAGCTGTAACACAAAAAGATTCTTAATTGATATATTTTTAAAATCTAAATCACAGAATTGTACAACATAGTAGAGTTTCTTAAGTGGCATTTGTAGATAGTGAAGTCAGCCTTAATAAAGAACTACATCGCTTCATTTCCTGATCTACACCTGATTTAATATAAAATATCTCTATTCTGTCATACATCCCATGAGCATACTCTGAGATCCTATTCTGAGCCATAAACTATGTGTGAGCTCAAAACAGAATGAGATTAGTTAGCATCCAAAATTCAGGCGTACATCTATACCTGATCAGACTAAATACAGAGAATAGAAAGGAGCAGTCCAAGACTACAATAAGATTTCCATCTAGTGGAATTGCTTACAATTAGGGGGAGAAAAGGATAAGCTAACTTTTGCATTTATTACATTTTCATGCCTGAGAGAAACTCAGAATGAAATGTCAAGCAGGCAATTTAAAACACAGAACAGTGGGGACACTAAAGATGCAGATTTAAATTCCTAGTTCCAATTATACCACTAACAAGTTTTTGAGACTTTGGGCAAATCTACTAACCTCTTTGGCTCTCTGTTTTAGATTAGAAAATCAGTAAGGTACCTTTTGGATCAGTCATGCTATAATAAGGCCATTCCTACTCTACTGTTCTTACCACTCTCTCCCTCCCATCACCACTTACCCCAGTCTACACAAACCCTATCCTCACACTCAAGCTCAACCCACAATAACCTAAAAAGTTTTATACAATTATTTTCTCATTTACTGAACTGCCTGTCTCCAGATAAATAACCCTATAATGTTGAATTGTTTGGTATCTGCATGCATGTGTTAAATCTATTCCCAATTAGATGCACAAGCACCTTTAGATAAGACTCTTTGTTGCTCCCACAAATAACAAGCAACTTAAAGTAAAATGCCACATAGTAAGTCATGTGCTATAAAAAATGTCACTTACCTAGGTCACCTGTAACTCTGTAAGATCCATTTGCAAAAATCCAGAAGAAAACTCCGGTGGCACTTCTAATCAAAATGCCACCTTTATTTACTCGTCCTGCAATGAATACACCTCCCCTCTCAGGGGCCTCCATGTAAACATCACACTTTATAGTCATATTGGCCCTGCAGAATGAAATAGTTAATTAGTACTCTTTTTGGCTGAGGTGGCCAAATTTGGCCAAATGTGAAGAAGGTGGATATTGTATTGTTCTCTACTGGTCCCCTCTGACAGCTTTAGGATTCCATCAGAACAGAGTGACTTCTCTAGCAATGGAGCAAAGATGACCTGATAAAATTCCATAACCAGAAGGGTGGTATTTCTACTTTGTAGCTAGGGACCACCTGCTTTCAAATTGCCTGAGGAGTTTAGGAAAAATGCAGGTTTCTAGGCTGTAACCTATACCTTCTTAATCAGACTCTCTGAGGGTGAGGGACAGAAGAGCCAGGAATCAGCATTTTTAAAAAAGTACCTCCTGTGATTCTTAAAGCTTGAGAGTGAGGGCTATAGAAACTGACTATATCACTATGGCAGAAATAAAATGCTTACATTAAAAGAGTATACAAGGCACACATGATGAAGAATGCCTGTAATCTCAGCATAAGGGAGGTGAAGGCAGGGGAAATCATGAGTTCAAAGCCAGTCTGCGCTACAATAATGAGACCCTGTCTTCATTTTTTTTAATTTATTAGCATATAACAGTGTACAAGGGGATACCTTGTAACATTTGCATATATGCTTATAAGTACTTGTAAATTATGCCATTCCTAATGTAGCATAAATATGTCACTTCATAGCAAATGCTTTTAATCTTTTACCTGGGGTGAGAAAGTGACTTGCTAAGTCTGAGCTTGTAGCATGGACAGGCCTCAAGAATCCTCCCGATGACATGCTTACATCAAGCCATTTCATTACTTCTTTTAGTAGGTTACCAGATAGTAATACTTACTATTCTTAAGTTTCTTCTGAGCCTATTTCTTGTCTTTCTATAATAAAACAAGTTTGTCATTCTAAGAATATCATATTGAAAGAAGCTACTTTTTTTTTCAAACACCAAATGATAAAATTTTCCACATAGTTCTGAACAAAAAGGTTTATTCAGAATTCTACCAGCAAGGAGAATGAATGAAAGAAATGATTGGAGCCTCTGGGAAAACATATGTTACTTTGAATCCAATTTTTACATTTAAATCTATCAAGACATAAAAACTCCTGAATAACTATCTAAAATTTTTCCTCTGCAGACAGTCACCTCTGTGCTCACTTGGCAGGAGGGCCTCTCAAACCAGAGCAGCATTAGAGGGCTTGTTAAACTCAGTCTGAGGGCCCCATCCCCACAGTGTCTGAATCAGTAACTCCAGAGTGTGCCCCTCAAATGTCCACATTTAACAACTTCCAGGTGATTCTGATGGTTCACCTCAAGGACCATTTCACCATACAGAGCATCTGTCTATACAGAGGTACTATAACCTTGGTTCTAAGATCACTGACCCACAGCACTGTATCAAAGAAAGGGAAAGATTCAGTCAGCCAGGAACTATCAGCTTTTATGAGTTCTCCTTCAGGTTTCCTTTTAAACATGCTAGCAAATAAAACACTTTCCTTTAGAGACAATACGACCACCCAAACAGACATTATCTCTAAAAACAATTCACTTCCTATTCAATATCGAACAGCAAATCAGAAAAAAAAAAAAACCTGCAGAAAACCAAGGAATAAAGCAATCAATTTATCTAAAGTAATACTAAAACAACCAAGAAACCTATTTTAGAAATGGCGTGGGAAAGTACTGAATCTGGAATTTTGCATTCCTCAGAGTTTCCCCTTAGAGAAATTTGCACAGTAATTTTACTATCTATAGGAACCTATTTTTTAAAAAAAAGCAATTACAATAGGTAATTCCTACTTTACAGGAAGATTGAATGCTAAGTGAGTGAAGCCAGTCTCTTATACACACTCTGACATCAGGGGAGCTCTTCTTTCTGTAGATTATCACCAGAAGCCACTAAGGACGGGTACCCCTACCTCTTTGATACTTCATCACAAATGTGAAAATGCAACAGATACTGCCAGTACCATAAACTCGCTCTATTTAAAGTGGGAATCAGAGGAAAATGGAACTATTTTCCTTTTTCTGACATGACATTCTAGAGTAAGTGATTCTTGCATCCAAACTGAGGCAATTTTGCAAATAATGAGTAAGAGAGGATAAAAGTGTACTTTATTCTTCCACAGCCAAAATTCTGCAGTCTCACTGAAAGAACAAAAACCAGCCAATATATCAGCAAATTTGATCAACAGAATGGAGAGTTCAGCTGGGAGGAAAGGTCACTTTGTGACTGTCCTCAGATCCCAACCAAAGCTTATTAATAAAATAGAAAGTCTTAAGTAGTTTCAGCAAAGCCTACTCTTTTATAGTCAAATCATAATGAAATGCAACAAAATCTAAGTATCAAAGAAGAGGCTCATTGCACCACACAACTCTAAGAACTGCTGGCACTGTGGACATTTGAGAACTGATTTTCTAGAAGAACCACTACAGATAAAGTAAATTTTCCTTTTCCTATTCTTAGAAAGAAAACAATGGTTAAAATGAGGCTGAGGTATAGCCAAGAAGCCAGTCAAGACCTGGCTTCCAGCCAAGAAAATTATATACATCTTACTTCAGAGCCTCAGTTTCTCAATCTATAAGGTGAGGAGAGTGACACCTATGCCATAAGGTCATTGTGGGAAGTTCATAAAAGTGTTATCACCCAGTTTTCATTCCCTCCTTTCCCCACACCAAGTGGACATACAACAGAAATGAACTAGGGTTCTGTGTGGCTCTCTAAACAGATCTGGTTGCCTCAAGCAAAGGATGCAATATTGGTAAACAGCAAAGGATAAATACAAGAGACCAATTTATAAAGGATCTCTGAAGTCAAGCATGGAAGTGTAGGGATGACCTGGTAGCAGGAGAGATTCACTGAGTACCCCTGAGCAGTAGAATAACATGTTGAAAGTAGAGCTTAGGAAAGGTGAAAAGAGTCCTTGATATGAAAGATTGCTGTTTGCCAGTTCCTTTTCTTTCAGAATGTGTCTTCTTTCCCTCTCTCACATTCTCCTTTCTCACTTCTTTTATTCATAGAAGCAGATCATGGTAAAGACTAAGTACTGTTATTTAAATATTGTCAAGTGTTTAAATACAAGAGGGATTTTGCTGCTGTTGTTAATCTTTGCCTAATACAGTACCTCATCTCTCTACTACAATTAAAGGGCCTCTCAATTTTTCTGGAATCCCAGCCAGAAATAAGAGAGTTTGAATTTAGAGATAGCTGTCTGTAGTGTTTAGGAAAATGGGAGCTGGAAGCTACCAGTGAAACTTAAAAACTTTCTCAGGGTGACTTCCACACTGCTGACCAAAGTAATGGAGCTCATGCCTTGGACACTTAAGCCAAGCTGTAAGTCTTAGAAAACAAATAAGGAAGTCCATAAACTCCACTGCCATAATCAGAAAAGTATCTTCCTCAAACACAATGTGGTAAATAGTGTTTTTATTATGTAAGAAGACAAGTCACCAAAGGCATCCTAAATTAGGGAAAAATCTTCACTACATCTCAGTAATTCTCCAAGGTGCTACATGCCATGCCATAGGGTTGCAGTTTCTCAAGACTTACATCAGAGCTCAGGGCTAGAATCAGAATTTAGAACTGGGAGTGAGGCCATACAAAAGCGATAAAGTTTTTCTGTAGCATTATGCAGATAAGCAATCAAGGAATTTCAGATTTATCTTCTCTTCCCTCTCTGATTTTCAAGCTTTGGATATGGCTGTTTGGTGGCATGGAATTACTATTTACTATCTCTAAATATGATTTTGTGTGTGTGTGTGTGTGTGTGTGTGTGTGTGTGTGTGTTTCCACAGAATTATACTAGTAATGGGGAAAAAAAACAATCAAATAATAAGGCAGCACATTGAAATTTAGTAACTAAATTAAAGAAGGTAAAGGTTTGATTTGGTAATATTTTAGGTAAGTAAGAAAAACAATATCTCTCCTTAACATATATCTAAGGAAATGTGTTCTATTACCTAGCCAACTAAAATTGATTTCTTTTTTACTACTTCCATCTATCACCTGGTAAAAGATTGTCTTGAGGCAAAGATAGTATAATTCTACCGTTGATCCAGCAGGTGGCAATACTAGATCAACGAATCAAATTTCCAGCAAAACAAAAACAAATCTCAAACTCTATAAACAAATGTTAAATTATAATTGGGTAAAAAAAATCCTCAGACTTCCCCTACAATAGTCATTAAAAAAGGCTAACATGAAGGAAGGACACAAAGGCAGCGAAACAATTTGATTTGTGGTTATCATGATATTCAACACCCCTATCGGGTTCTTGGCACAAGGGTAACTGTTGAAAACGCTTTACTTCAGAATGTAAACAACAACATTACAAGGTTATTTCAGCCAGAGCTACACTCAGAACATCAATCTTACATACCACTGGTAATTTCCTATAATGCTGATTGTGCTGGAAGCATCAGCAGCCCAAGTAATAGGGCGTTGATTGAGAACTTGACGTAATGTGAAATGATGCTCTCCGGGGTCATCGGTGTTTGTGTAGTACTCAAACACACCCGTCTGATCAGCAAAATATGGAGCTTCATTAACAAATGGGTAATCTGTTCAGAACACAATAAATTCTCTGCTTAATAGCTTAGTAACTCAGTATCAAATCCTATAGGATTTCTCTTCTCTGATCTAAATATAAATAAAGATATACTTTATTTAAAAATGCTTACCAACGTTGAAATCATCTTTATAGGTACTTGGGAAAGGCTTGGATTTGGGAGAAAATGGGTAGAAGCCTTTGCGACCTGTGGTGAGAGTGGTGAGTGTGAACAGTTCATCCTCTTGCAGTTCCAGGGTGAAACTGTTCTTTTTGTCGAGGAGCTGAAAAACAAGACATCTGCATTCAAGGCCAGGTGCTGGGACTCATCTCATTGGCACAAAACAAGTTTGTAAAACAATAAGCATTAAAAAAAGCCCAACTTATTCCTGTTAGGACTTCCTAAACACTTGAAAAACACACAAATATCAAGGCCCTTGGCATCTGAGTATTTTACAAGACTTCATAAAACTATACTTTCTAGAAACAATTTTTAAAGAATTTAAGTGCATAAAGGAAAGGAATAGATGATCCCCAGATCTACTTCTTTTTAGCCTATTCTTTTTCATTTTACCATAAGCTCTTCAAAGGTTGTCTATATTCAATACATGCCACTAACAGCCCTGCTTATTTCTCTTTTAGGATTTTCCTAAGGGAGATAAAGTCACAAAATCTCACTGCTGACTCAAGATATAGAAATGCTCAAGATATAGAAATTTATTTTAAAACTAACTACCCATAGAGAATCCAGTTGTTTAAAAAGAAATCTCCTGGATGGTTTTCCAAGTTTGGTGTACCACACCTGTAGCTCTGGTATTTCACTCTGGAGAGAAAACACAAAAAAACATGGTTGAATGATTAATCATCTCTCTGAGGATTTCCTAAATCAGTACCAGCAAGAATAGAGCAGTAACAATGTGCACTCTGCTTCTATTTACCAAAAGAAACATCCCAAATATTAAGTGGTAACATTTTTGAAAAGAGTGAGACATTGTTTAAGTAAAAACTTTATATACTATAAATTTTAGCCACTAAACAAGGCAGGCATAGTTGAGAACAAACTCCTGGGCTTGAAAGAGTCAGACTAGTTAACATAATTTCAGAGTTATCTTCTCTTTTTGTTTCAGTTAAGACTCCTGGAAGAAACTTGTAAGAACCAGCAAAGGCCACTGAGCCATTGTGACGCATTCTTTTAGATAACCCACAATAAACTTAGCTCATTATAATACTGAACTGAGCATGCCCAGAAGTGTTCCTGTCTGCCAGGTTTCCTTTTGAACATGTGCTCGACATCCTGCCACTTAGCATGCCCAGAAATATGCCTACAATCATCTGTCTTGAACTATGACCTTAAGCTGAACATGCTTAGAAATGTAAACCTTAAATTGAGCATGCCTGGGAATGGACCCATCCCTAATGTGCTTTCCCCTATCAACATGTGGGAGGTGAATAAAATCCCTCTGCCTCCCTTCTGCTTTGTAAATCACCCTAGTGGTCTTCTTACCACTGCAGCTAATAAATCTTGCTCCAGTCTTTTATTTCCTTGTTGTGTTTTGTGGCTTTGCACTCACCAAGATGTGAACCCAGTGGCATTAGTTAGACTAACACTAAAGAACTTTTGCAAATGTTAAAAACAATTTAGTGCCTTTGTTTCAAAAATGCTCTATTTTTGAGTTTTAAAAATACACTATCAAAACTGTGCAAAAATCTTTTTAAGAACTCTCTGGTATAAAAAACAGTTCTTTTATGCCATTAGTAATCAGAAAGGATGCTACATTTTCTCAATTTAAATCTAACAAAGAGGTAGAAATCTGGTGGGGTTTTTGGTAGGTTTTTTTGTTGTTGTAACTGTTTTCACTATAGAGTACTCTAAAGATCAATGCTTGAAAGTTTGTTACATCACATAACTGATGCTTAGACCACCAAGAGTAATTTGCAACTTTTGTTAAGTGTTCCTCAAAGCCACAAAGAGCTTTAGCATGTACTTGCTTCTGTCCTGTTTGATTAAAAGAAGTCAGGAGATTCATATGCAAGTTGAAAGTAATTTATAATATAGGATTTCACTTAAGAACTGCTGGTCTGTGAAAGAAAAAAAAATTTTCAAATCAAAATACAAGTCTCATATATGTACTTACAAAAGATCCCTTAAGAACAAAGGTAGCCAACTGTTGTGAAACATTGTAATAAGGAAGAAATGGCCGAATACACATAGAATGTTTATGACTCTGAGGGGAAAAAAAAACAGGTAAGTTATCCCAAATATATGCAAGCTATCCTGGGGGAGAAATATTATATAACAGATGCCCCCATATTAACATTAATGGCATATATTACATAACAAATATGAATTTATTTCAAATTTTAACACTTTTTCTACTGTGCCTTTAATGAATGTGTATTGTGTGTATGTGGTCAAAGCAAATCTGAATGACATTTCAACTGAATCAAACTTCAAATTCATAGGTAAACTCTAGAGTCATTCATATTCAGAATTCCTTTTTGTTATTAAAAAAAAAGTAATATTTACTTTCCAAGTAAAATATATCAAATGAAAAACAAAAGCCTGGATGTTTTCACTGAAAGGGCATCTCATATAAATACAACAAATACATTAAAGTCAGCTAAACAAATATAACAAATAGTTCTCACATTGCCATCATCTTTCAATAGTCACTATTATGAGCTGGGTTTAAAAAGAGTATGAGACATAATTCTTACTTTAGAGGAGTCAACAATCACAGAGCACTTACAGTGCAAGATTTTGTCCCAGGCTTAATAGACCATAAAAAAAGCACAATCATAAATTGACATTCTACTCACAGTAACTGATAGTGCAAATACATAGAAAATCAGTAAGAATATACAGGAGATTTGAACAATACCCTCAAGTAACTTCCCTTACTGGCATCTATAGGTCAATCCATCCAATGACAGCAGAATGCTCATCCAATACTGACCAAGGTATACCATATCCTATCCACAAAAGAAATCTTAACAAATTAAAAATGATTCAAGTCACACAAAGTATAATTTTTACCAAAACAGAAGTGAGTAACAGAAAAAAATCTGGAAAATTCCAAAATATTTAGAAACTAAATGACAAATTTCTAAATAACCCATAACCAAGAAAAGATGACAATAAAAATATTCAAAGAAGGGCTTGTGTATGGCTGTAGTGGCAAAGAGCTTGCCTAGCAAATGTGAGGCCCTGAGTTCAAACGCCAATACCTCAAAAACAAAACAAAATATTCAAAGAAGTAATAACTTAAAACTTCCTAAGTATGATTTTAAAAGTTAGGTTACTCATCTAAAACGTTCAACAAACTCTAAAAGTAAATGCAAGGAGAGCTATACACATGGAGGCATCATAGTAAATGCTGAAAGTCAAAGTAAAAATGATCTTGAGAGCAGAAACAGAAAAACAGCTAATCATTTACAAGGGAACTTAAAAGATTAATAGATCATTTATCTTTGAAACAATAGATGACAAAAATGTCAAAATGCTCAAGGAATAAAACTGTCAATTCATCAAACTATCTTTCAAAAAATAAGGACAAAACAACAACAGCACAGATAAACAAAAACAGAGCATATATTAAAAGTAGATTCAACTTTCATAAAACACTAAAAGAAGCACTTCAAGCTGAAAGCAAGTGACCCATACAATAACTGAAATACACAAACAAAAAGTACTGGTAATGACAACTATATTACAGACAGTGAAAATGCAATTTCATCTCCTTTCTTCTCATAATTGATTTTAAAAGCACTTTATAAAACAATATGTACATAATTGTACTTTACAGAAATGTAATATAATTGCCAATAACAGCATAAAGGAGCCAGGTAGAAGAAAAGCTATATTTGGAATAAGGAAATGATACTATATAGTAACTCAAATACCTAGAAATAAATGAAAAGAACTCAAAATGATAAATAAGAAAATATAACAAATGCTATAAATACTTGCTTTCCTTCCTTTTCAAAAAGAGTTAAATTTATATATAAAGAAATAATTTAACAATGTTTTGTTAGGTTTCACACATGCAGAAACATGCATGCTATGTACAATAACAATAGAACAAAAAATGGAAAAGGAAACAGAGTAACATAGGAATAATGTTGCTATATCTGGAATTCAATTAATTTAAATATGAAGTGATTCTGATAAGATGTATATGTTAACCTCTATAACCACCACTAAAGAAATAATTCATGAAAATACAGTGAAAAAAATCATTAGAAGAATTAAATGTTACTCAGAAAATACTTAATGCAAAAGAAAACAGTAAAGAATAGAGAAACAAAGAGACATACACAAACAAAAACTAAGAAGGCAGATAAAAATCCAACTATATCAACATCAACATTAAACATAAATGGGTTAAATAATCTAATCAAGATGTAAGACTATATTTTAAAAAAGCAAGAACTAACTATATGCTGTTGAAAGAAGACACTTTAGATTCAAAGAAATAAACATATTGAAAGGAAAAAGATATATTAATAGTTTTAAAACAACAAGAAAGTTGTAATGGCTCAAATAATAGCAGACAAAATAGCTTTTAAAACAAAAGGAAAAAATATAACTACAGAGAAATTTTATGACAGGTAATTAAAAAATTTATAGGACATATAAACATATTTGTTCCTAGCAAGAAAGTCCCAATATAGCATGAGACAAGAACAGACAGAACTAGGAAAAAGAAGGCAGACAACTCCACAAAAGTTTAAGATTTTAATTGGTCACTATAAATAACAGATAAAACAAGTAATGAACAATGCTTTTCACCAATTAGACCTAAGTGACATCTATATAGTATTCAACACAATGACAGAACATACATTCTTCTCAAGTATACATTCTCTAGTCTAGACCATATACCAGGCAATAAAATAAACTACAAGAAACTTAAGGACTTTAATGATGTGAAGTATGTTCTTTAATCACAATGTAATGAAATTAAAAATTAGTAACAAGAACTTGGTGATTCTAGGAGCATGGCTCAAGTAGTGGAGTGCCTGCCCAGCAAGCATGAGGCTCTGAGTTGAAAATTCTAGTACTGACCCCAAAAAAGTCTTCTCTTAGGGCTTGAGGCATGCCTCAAGCCATAGAGGGCCTACCCAGTAAGCACAAAGCCCTGAGTTCAAAACACAGTACCACATACACCTTCCCCTGCCCCCAAAAAAACCCCTTGGTAAAACTCACAGAAATGTGAAAATTTTAAAATACCTTCCTAAAGAACCAATGGGTGAAAGAAGAAATCACAAAGTAAATTTTAAACAATATTCTGAGATGAATAAAAATGAAAATGAAACAAAAAACTTACAGAATACACTAAAATACCACTTACAGAGTAAGTGATAGCTGTAAATGCCTGTATTAAAAAAAATGATCTCAAAGCAAAAACTGTACCTTCCATCTTAAGAAACTAAAAGATCTTAAGAGCAAACCAAATCCATAGGAAGCAGAAAATAAACATTAACATGGAAATTACTGAAACAGAGAAAAATCAATAGAGAGAGTCTGTACAAACCACGGTAGCTTCTTTGAAAAGATGAATAAAATTAATCATATCTTTGAATAAACTAATCAAGAAAAAAAGAGAGATTACTACAATCAGGAGAACAAAAGAGGGACATTTCTACCAACATTAAAAAATCAAAAGAAGGGAGTACCTAAAGGAATACTATTATCATGCAAATAAGTTAGGTAACATATTAAAAAGGTAAATTTATACAAAAACAGAAACTGCCAAATCTACTCAGAAAAAAAATAAAATCCAAGTATACCTATAACAAGAAGAATGATTGAAACAGTAAACCAAAAACTTTTGGGAAGGAAAATCCCAGGATCAAATGGCATTACAGATGAATTCTACCAAATATCTTAAGAATTAATACCAACCCTTCACAAAGTCTTCAGAGACACATTTCCCAATTCATTCTATGGGGTAAGGAGACTGATGTTCACCTAACAGGAGCTATACATATTTTTAAAGCTTCTTTATTCCCTTGATTGAATCCTGCTTCCCCCAGATTTCTTAGTCAATCAACTGAAACCCTCTTCTTGAACCCCTATTGATTCTACCAACTGTCTATCTCCTTGTTGGAACTTCATTGGCCAATTTAGGAAACTTAAGATCTCCCCAGGCAGGTACCTGTAAGACCTATCTTTTCCATTTGCTTCTTCTCCATTCTCATTTTGCCACCTTCAATCTTCCACTCGGTTCCCTTGAGTCCTCCATATGTCCCATTTTAAGGCCCTATTTCCTTCATCCCTCTGTTCACCCAAAATTGCCAGAACTTCTTCCTTTCCATGATAGCCCCTCAGTCACTTTAATTTTATCCCCCCAATTCTCACAACAGACTTAAAATCCCCCAAAAACAACAACCTGAGATTAAAAGCAGAAAAAGCCACAGCTTCCATAAGCTTACATATCAGACCAAGAGAATGTCCTGAAAGTCTCCTCCACAAATACTGCTAAACAGGTAAAACCAGTGAGTTATATTACTGTTTTACTGTCTCATGGCTAAAATTTTTAAATGAAAACTATAAAACCTTGTTATCTCTATCTATCTCTCTCTCTCTCTCCCCCCCCCGTGTGTGTGTGTGTGTGTGTGTGTGTGTGTGTGTGTGTATGTGTGTAAAACCAAAAAATAAGGGTGTTCAGTTTTGTATTATGCTATTTTTTCAATACTGAAGAATGGATCTAACCCAGTATCAACAACAAAATATTACCATAGTTTCAACGATGATTGTGAGGTTACCTAAACCATCAGTCAAAGCTACATAGCTTCCTCCTTTTTCTAAATGGCCAACTGTCTTCAGGTAATGCCAACCTGGTTGAGTAAACTGAGCTGTATGAGCTAGAGAAAAAGAGAAAAACACAAATTAGATAAAAATGATGATGACAGGGTTTCTTAAAAAAATAGCTGTCTACCAATTTGAGTCTGATTCCAATAAGTTATTTTCCATTTTAGAGGAAAATACTTGCCAACCTCATATTTCAATTCTTAAGTAATTAATCCAGTTAAATGGTATAATTGCAAGATTCTTGGAATGATTTGTAAAAATAAATGAACCTGTCAGTTTAAAAGTATTGATTAGTTCTTTTTTTTCCAAAAGCAAATTCAGTTACTCCTCCCAATCTTTGTTCATCTATTTAACCCATCCTAATAAAATTACTACAAAAAAAAAGAAGAAGAAGTAAAAATAGTTAATAAGGCAATTCAAAACTGCTTATGGTCTCAAATTTTTTCCACAACATGTATATTTATTGTCACCTCCAAAGTGGTCCTGAAAATGTACTAAACAATATTCCATGTCCCTACCCCAATAGTCACAAAATTAGCAATGTGTATAGTTCACATAGGTGAGTGGAAACAACAATTTCAGCATCTAAGGGGTTAACTAACCAAAATACATTAAGTCCAACTTAATTTTTCTGTATTGTAAAAGAACAAGAGTTTAGAATAATGTCATGGTGACATAACTAATGTAATGATTACAAATATCTCTGAGGAATACATATCAACTAAAAAAGAAAATCACCAAAATATAGGTTTAAAATTAAAACAAGTTTACTGAATTCATAATTTTCTCTGAAAGTGTCTTACCATTGAAGAAACTGATTTTTAAAAATACTACGGATGCAATTTTAAAACAAAACAGTCACAAATATTAAATATTTTTTACTAAAAAATTCACAGAAAAATTTCAATATTAATCAACAGATGTTTTATTTTATTTAAATTACATCCATTATTACGGTTATATCCCTTCATGAAAAAGTGAGACCATGCCATCCATTATCTGTATGATCTCAGCTTCCTTTGTGGCTAATGAAGGGTACTGTAGAAAAAATTTTGTGTTTCAGTGGAAATGGATGATCTTTCGGCTATGTAAATTATGACTTGTTTAATAGACATCAAATTGATTTTCTCCCAGTTGTAGGAAACTCAGTTTGTCTTCATTTATAATTCATCTCACATTCTTTACTCCATAAAAATTTGTGCTTTGTTGAGTTGTCTTCTGAAATGGTTTTAACATTTGCCTGGTTCCTTCATATCATGAACAACAAAATCTTCAAGCATGTGCTTACTTTTTTTATCTATAATTAGAGTCATGATTTTATCTTTTCCTGAAAATTGTTTTTTAACAACATACAATAGTAGATTTAGGGAACAATATAAAGCCATGGTATTTCAAATAATGTTTATATTTACTTATTCATTAAATGATTCAATAAATACAATATTTATTAATCACCTAATATTTGTTATTCACTCACCTTCTATTTTGTTAAAACACTAATCAACAAAACTGAACTAATACAAAGGAATAAAATCTTCTAAGACTAATTTTAAGACTTTTAGATACTCTGAGTGAAACAAATCTTTAAAAATACCTTGTTTTATTAGTAATTATTATAATTTGTGATACCTTAGGTGATTATTCCTATCTCCATCACTAAACACTCCCTTTTCTTTTTCCCCTCTTCTTTTCTTCCCTTCCCCACTCTCTCCTTCCCAATCCTTTCTAAAGGCTTTGTCTAGGAATAATCAATAATCAAGTACAGAATACAGAAAGTAGTCTAGTTACCCAGAATAATCTTATAAAACACTAGCAAATACACATTAAAATAGAGACATGCATAAAACCTGGATATGTATGCAGCTTCTATAATCTCTTGAGGTGTTTTCTGTTTTGTAGGGAATGAGAGGTGAAGTCCGAGCCATACCTGACACCCAGATGGGAGATTCCACTATATAGTGCCCACTCCATGGCTCCTGGGCAGTCATCAGTCCACATCGTCCATAAGGCAGCTCTTCATAGTAAGCAGCCACCAAATTCCAAGCGATTGTGCTAAAATATTCATTTGATTAAAAAGAAACACCAAAACAACATGAAATAAAAATGTAAATGTCTAAAAGCCTGAAGAAGTCATTATCATAATTATGATGTAAATGAACATAAAATGTCCACACAAAGAAAATAGAAGTTGTCTAAGTTCACTCACATTTTGAAAAATCCAGTGTCACATTTTAATGGTGAGTCACATAATTAAAAAAAATACAAATGCATATTGGATGCACATTTTTTTTTTACTGAACAGTGGTATAACCAGAAGATGAATCATGCTCAATTAGTACCAACATTTCACAAATTTGAGTCAAATGCAAAACACTCTGCCTGCTTAACACCCACATTTCATGACACAGTTTTTATGAACTTGACTTTGGACTGTTGCACTGAAAATTCTTAAAAGTCAGACTGTATGGGTTCAGATCATACGCCTATCACTTAACCTCTCCGGACCTCAGTTTCCTCATATGTAAAACAAGGTAGTAACGGTACCTACCTTAAAAGTGGTTGTAAAGATTAAATGCATAAATTCACATAAAGAGTATGGAATAAAGTTTGTGCTGTACCATCGTTATCATTTTGTTTCAACTATAAGTAATAAGTGGATCAGCTTGCTAGTCTGCTTTTTGGTCCATTCGTTCAGATGATCAGGCCTTAAAGGTCCACAGCAGATACTCAACCTTAATATTGTGATTCTATGGTTATCAGAAAAATCGAAGCACAAAAAGGAAGTTCTTGTACCTGGCTGGGTTCCTCACAACTAAAAAACAAACAGAGCTTACTCAGAGTTTTATTTTTCTAATCAAGTCGTCATTCATCATAAAAGTCAGACTGGCATTCTTAGCAAATCAAAGCTGATTAATTCTCTCAACACAAAGTAGAAATAATAGTCCCACTTTTCAAAACAGCTCACTACCAGTGAACATTATAAGAGTTCTCATGATTTTGTTCACAGTTTGCAAGATGCCTGATATCCTCTCTGGCTAGCCATAGAAGTACCAATTGAGACAAATGTTCTGGAGGGCATTTTGTAAAATGTACAAAAGCCTCCAAAATCTATGTATCTCTGCCCTAGACATTCAGTTTTTAAGAATACACCCTAAGGAAATAATCATAGATATATACAAAGATATTTGTACACAGCTGATCATTTCAGTTTGTGTAAAGCTATTGATTAAAATATAAACAACTTCCACTTCTAGGAAGACAGAAATGAGGTATATTTTTTCCACAGATATTTCCCAAACTGCAGTATGAGAATCACCGAGATAAGACACACAGAGTACACCTAGTCTAGACAAGACTACCAGGAACCCTCCCTGTAGATTCTGATTCAGTGACATCTGGGCAGCTGCCTAGGAATCAGCTTAATAAGTATCTGAGATGCTTCTTAAGACAAGGCAAGTTTGGGAAATACTACTTAGTGTAGTAGAAAACAGGCCTGAAAAGTGTAGTGGGAATACACTTAAACAGGAGAAAAAGTTCATAATGTCATATTTAATAAAAGGCAGCTTACTAAACGGATTGTACAGTGTATCTCAATTCTGCATTAAAATATATAGCCATAAATTAAAAATGAGAGGAAATATGCCAAAATTTTTAGGGACAGTTATTTCTGGACAGTAAGATTAATAAGCAATTTTGCTTCATTCTTTGTATTTATCTTCAGTTTCTAAATTTTCTGTCATGAATGTGCATTATCTTAATACCAATAGGCCATGATAAGCAACTTTTCCTTCAAAAACAAAAGAAATACTGTGTGTGTGTGTGTGAACTTGCATTACCATCACAAAGTATATATACTAGTTTGCCTCTGTTCTGTTTATCATTGTTTTAGAAGGCTAACTTAAATCTAATTAAACTGTCATCAAAGCATTTAAGACATGCTTCCCTTCAAAATAAAGCAGTCTGAAAGACTGTAAAGCAAGATACAATTAAAGACACTTTGCACATTCAGGTTTATTGCAGCATTATTCACAGCAGCCAAGCTATAGAAACAGACCAGATGTCCTACATCTGATGAATGGATTAAGAAAATATGAGACATAGATATAGAGATAAAGATAAAGATAGATGCAATGGAATATTATTCAACCACAAAGAAGAATAAAATTTTTTCATTCACAGGTAATTTTTCATTCACAGGAACTGGACAGTATCATGTTAAGTGAAGTGAGAAGCCAGGCTCAGAAAAACAAAGGCATATATATATATGTGTTTCCAAAAGTGGAACTCTTCTAACAGTTCCACAGGGAGAAGGAAAAGAAGAAAAGAATACAAGACAGTGAATAATACTGAAATGCATCACATCCGTGTAGGAATAAGACACAACAAAATGCCCTGAAAACTGTTGAACAATACAGGGTAGGGGAAGAGATAAAAAAACAGTATTAGAGAGGCTTAGACTGATCAAAGTACAATATGTTTACAGATAAAATACCAAGGCGAAACCCCAATGAACAATGAATACACACTGAAACAATGAACAACAGGAATGTAAAATAGGTCATGTTAAAAGGAGAGTAATGGCAGGGGGCTAAATGAAGAGTGTAAATAAGGGTGAATATTGTTGAGGTACTTTCTATACATGTACAAATATGGAACATTGAAACCTGTCAAAGTCATTTAAAGTAGGGGAGTGAGAAAAGGAGGAGAATAATGGAGGAAAGGAATGAAACCAGGGGTCATATATTTATATACATAATGAAACCCCCTGTTTAACTATCATATACTAATAAAAACATTTTTAAAAAGAAATAAAATAGTGTTCTTTCTTAATAATCTGTTTTATAAACAAATAGTTACAGAAATTAAGAGATCCCACAAGGAATTAGTCAGCCAGAGGGGAAGTGATACAATAAGGCACCCTGCCTGGTCTTTTTAAGAGATCACTATCATTAAAAAATGGGGAAGAAGAAAAAGAAACTTGAGGGCTGTAACTTCTAAATCAAATTCATGTGCTTGATTAGATCAAACATAGTAGTGGCACACATCTGTAATCACAACTACTCAGAAGGTGGAGGTAGGAGGGCTGTGGTCTGAGCCCAGTCAGACAAAAACTCAAGACCCTATATGAAAAACAAACTACAAAAGCAAAAGGACCAGGGACATGGCCCAAATGGAAGAATACTTCCTTAGCAAGCACTAGCCATAGATTCAATCTTCAGTACCACTGAAGTATTTTAAAAGCGGATCTACAAATGACATTTTGGAAGACAATTGGAAAAATGTGAATACAGATTGGGCATTAGAAATTTTTAACGTTCATATGCATAAAAATGATATTCATGTAGAACATCTGTGTGTTTTAGAGACCCACTAAAATATGTAGGTACAGTATAAAGACATATAAAGTAATTTACTTTATAACTGCTAATTTAAAATATATGCAGCTTGTCAAAAGTCACAGAACTGTATGAATTACCATGCATAAGTTACACCTCAATAAACCTAACTTTCCTAAATATACACTATATTCACATTTAGGAAAAATGTAAATTAGGTATACATTACATGTAAATAAAGCAAAGATTGCAAAATATTTAGAATCATTGTATATAAGTTGTGAGAATATAGAAAACCATTGTATTTTTTTCTATTTGTGTTTTTACACTTTCTATAATAAAAACACTAAAAGGTTTTTAATAACTTACGACGTCATATAGCCATTGATATAATTCTGATTTAATATGCGAGCCCAACAGCCTGCACCCACATCACTGTTTAAAGTGCTAAAATCTTCAGAAGACCAAAGCTTCTTCTTAGTCAACTTTGCATTCAGTACTGTATGGGTCCCTGGATAATGAGCCCTAGAAAAGAAAGTGTAAAAATAAGTGAAAACAGTTAGAATGAGATATACATATTTGTTGAGTAATTTAAAATACAAGTCTTTGCCAATGTTTTCTATTTTAAAACAATTAGGCAGTTTCCAAACATGAAAGACAGAATGTAAGCATCTGCTTCCCATCCTTCTCTCTTTCAAGTTACCCTTAAAATTACAACAAAGGAAAAAAAGGGGGATATGAAACTACAACCATAGCTAGAATGGGAAGAAGATCACTAATGGATCTGAAAATTCAGGAAACCATAAATGAATGGAAGCATGTTGATGGATGGAGGTAGAAGAAGCCATAGCCTAGAAAAATTTCAGAGGACAATGAGGTAGAGACAGGATGGAGACTCCCCAGGGGAAGCTGAAGAGGAAAGAAGCAAGGAGGAGGTCAAAAGTCATACTAGTAAGTCTATTACATAATGTAGCACTCTCTTCCCTACTCCTACCCTAGCACACAGAGAGAAAATTGGCATTTACTCCCAGGCAAAAAAACTAAAATAACAACAAAACAAAACAAACAAAAAATTCCACAAAACCCACAGATGGCTCTTTCCTAAATGAAAATAATAAACTACATTGTAAAAACTAAAAGGTGCTATCTCAAAACAATAATGGTTTTCAAACTGGGTAATTTTGCCCGTTTCTGGCAAAATCTGGAAACATTTCTTCAACTGTCCCACTAGAAACAAAGGAGTTTTGACATCTAGTGAATAGAGGCCAAAAATGTTGCTACACATCCTATAGTACACAGGACAGACCACCACAACCCAGAACTATCCAGTGTAAATATCAAAAGCGCAGAGGTGAGACGCTACGCCAGAAAAGGAACCCTGCCTCATTCTAGCATTTGAAGAGAAGGCTAGAATCATTCTCTTAGAGAGAAGAGAATCAGGTGAAGAATCAATGCACATTTATTACTGCAAGAGTAAATGTTGCCATAGTGATCATTGTGGAAGCCACTGAGTATATGAATAAAAACAATTATGAAACTTAAAAACAGAAAACAGATTGAAAGTTAATACAATAATAAATTAGTATATTAGCTAAATAACTTTAGGAATAAGTGTATACTCTTTAACAATTATTTATAAAAAACAGTAATGCAAGTAGACTAATGGAAATTGGATTATAGCACAATTCTAATCTTTGCAATTTGTTGACTAGTAATCATGACATCAAAAGAATAATCATAAAAACCTGTTGTAGATTTCAGTAATTAAATTCCATTTTAGGTCATGACTTTTTTAAGAAAAAGTCCTATAAAGAATTCTTTGTAACTAGTGAAGATGAATTAGGGTACAACACCAATTTGGGACCCCAGAATTTCATGGAGAAGAAATGAATACATAATATATAAATAAATGAATACATATATATAAAGAAAAATGAGGTTCCACAAGGATTTTGTGGAATTGCTGAACTTAGCTGAAAACAGGAATCTATTTCAGTTTTTCAAATCAACATTCTAAAAAAAACCCAAGAACAATCTAGCAACTAACAGGGTTAAGAAATTATCTTTGCACTATTATGCCAAACTTGGAAAATCAAACTACTAATTCTCAAGCTACTAATGTTTTAATAATATAATTTTATTAAATTTTTACATTTTAGATTATTCATATCTCAGTTTCACTCAGTGACCATGCCTTGCAGCTTTGAAACCTCTTTAGCCAAACATTAATTTTTAATACCATATTAAAAATTAGGAATATTATATCCCTGCTTGTCATTCAGGAAAATATATACCTGGTTTGTACATTTTCCAACTTTTCCATAATGAGCATGTATTATTTTTATAATATGAAAAAATATCTCTACTACAGTTATAGGAAGTATATCCCTCACTCAGAAAAATATGATACTGTTACTATATTTGAAACCTCAGCAATTTATTAAGTGATCTAGTAAACTAGGGCAAAATTGATACTAAAATTTGGGTCTCTCCCAATATCCAGATCTACTGCTAGCTCAACAAAATGCAAAGGCTCTTTAAAAACATAATTTTAGCTGGAAACATGGCTCAAGTGGTAGAGTACTTGCCTATCAGGCACAAGGCCCTGAGCTCAAACTTCCTCCCCCCAAAAAAGAATTTTAATATATCAGAAAAAAACTTTTCTATTATTTTGCAGCATGATTTCTCAAACTTAACAACCCTAACAGGGTAGAACAGTTTTTCTTTTCTATGTGTGTGTGATGTTGGGGTTCGAGCTCAGGAGCTCGTGCTTGCTTAGGCAGGCACTCTACTACCTGAGCCATTCCACCAGCCCCTAACAGGGTATTAAAAGAAAATTAGAACTTTTAGACAAGGTGAAGCATGGTAGCAGCTCAATTTAACTCATGAAACTGAGACCATCTGCACCAGGTTGAGGTTGGAAGTGAATGCCGTTTCAAAAACAATGCAATCACAAAGAGGTCAAACATAATACTGTAACAGTTTAAAGCAGATTTTTCCAATAGAAATCTGACCTAAACCACATGTACAATTTTAAATTTTCTAGTAATTACATTAAAAAAACACAAAGGTTCTTACCACAATGAAATAAATAAATAAAAATTAATTTAAAAAAGCAAAATGAAATAGGGAAATTAGTTTTAGTGACATTTGTTTAATTCAATATATTCAAATTATTAAACATGTGGTCAGTGTAAAATAATTGTAAATAACATTTTACTTTGTAATATTAAACCTCAAAATCCAATATGAAATCTCTAGTCTTTAAAACTTTCAAAATTTAATATTAAATTTTCAAAAGTGTATTTTAAACTTATTAACACATCTAATATTAGACTGGCTGCATTTCAGGTGTTCTATAGATAGGCATATGTAGCCAGCGGCTACTGCAGTGGACAATGCAGGCTTATGCTGTAACAATTTCAGCAAGTGATCTCCTCAGGAATGGTAGAGGCTCACCATGAGAATGAGCTGTGTGAAATGAAATCCAAACTGAGTAAGTCAGTCACACTCATAAAGGAAAGAACACTCAGACAACAGGGAGAATGGCATCCAGCAGATACAGACCCCAGAAAGAAATACAACTATGAAACAAAAATCTTCATATACAGCACTGGCCACACACAACATGAATGGGACCTGGACGTATACTCTTCCTATGGAGGTAGGAGCCAAGGAATAAATATCTCCTAAACAGAAGTCCAATACACCATTTGGATTGAAAACAATCCAAATGACCACTGAGAAAAGATTAACCAATATCACACACAAAAAACTGAAATGAGGTCACAGAATGCCTTAACCAGGGTAAACATCCCAGGTCATCCTGTCCCCGGTCAGGTTTCTGCAGACTGTCACCATAAAGACAACAAACAGAACAGGGTAGTGGCCCTGTAATCCCAGCACTTGAAAGGCAGAGGCAGGAGGATTGCAAGTTCACACCAAGCCTGGGATATACAGAGATCCTATCTTAAAAAAACAAAAAAAGGGCTGAGAGCATGGCTACAGTGCCTGCCTACCAAGTGCAAGGCCCTCTATTCAAACCTTGGTACCACAAAAAAAAAAGATAATAAACAAGTTCAATAAAAGTCTTTTCATCTTATCATAATCCTTACCTGGAATGTATTAACATAAGTGGCCAACAGCTAACAACTGTCCTCTGTTGTCCTTGTCAATCATTGCAGTTGTATAACCAATTTGTTATAACCAGCTTGTTTGTTCTTTTTTAATCTATTAAAAACCCAAACCGTCAGAGGCTATTTGAGAGAGCATAATTGTAAGAGGCCAGAATTTATTACTCTAGGGGGTGATCATCCTTACTTTGGCTCTAATGTACCCTGTGTTCTCACACTTGTTTGTGCCTCACCTTGCCCTTTATTTGATTATTCATTCACTTATCTTCTTATTTATTTTGGCAGTTCTGGGCTTGAACTCAGGGCCTTGTGCTGGCTAGACAGGCACTGTACCACTTGAGCCACACCTCCAGACCTCAACTTGCCCTTTAGAATGACACCACCAGAATTATATAAGAATTAAGTTGTGGTGTATTCTTATAATTGAGTGCTAAACAACACAATGTAATTTCATCTGTATCTATCAGTATGAATATATATACAAATACGGTGACCAAAATAACAGATACTCTAAGATGCCATTTTAATAAAATTTTTAAACAAACAAAATTAGTTTACAGTGGTAAAGGTCAAATTAGTAGTTAAAGGTCAAATTACTAGTTATCATCTGGGGGCAAAAAGAGAAGTTAATGAGTAGAAAGATTTCCAAGGGGAAGCCTTCTGGGGTACTGGGTAATTAATTATCTGGGGTGGGGGGGCCCATGTGAATGTTCCCTTTGTGGTAATTCTCTAAACTATACTCAGATGATTTGGGCACTTGTATATGTATATATACATCCTGTACTCAAATTTTAAAATTTTTAATGGGAAGAAATTCTTAGACAATAGAGAAAAAAATTATAAATGAAGCCTAAACTAAAAGAAATATAGATAGACACTATGAAATACAAAAAAGAGAAAAAAATTATAAATGAAGCCTAAGCTAAAAGAAATATAGATAGACATTATGAAAAACACAAGAAGGAGATAAAGGATAGAAATGATAAAATTAAAGAGAAGTAGATGGATTCTCTGCTGAATTCTATCAGACCTTTAAAGAAGAACTGATACCAATCCTCCTTAAACTGTTCCATGAAATAGAAAGGGAAGGAAAATTGCCTAACTCATTTTATGAAGCCAGTATTACACTCATCCCAAAACCAGGCAAAGACACCTCCAAAAAGGAGAACTATAGGCCAATCTCCTTAATGAACATTGATGCAAAAATCCTCAATAAAATAATGGCACACCGAATTCAACAACACATCAAAAAGATCATTCACGATGACCAAGTAGGCTTCATCCCAGGAATGCAGGGGTGGTTCAACATATGAAAATCAATAAACATAACAAACCACATTAACAGAAGCAAAGACAAAAACCACTTGATCATCTCAATAGATGTAGAAAAAG